GCTAATCAAGATATAATCCATATTAATATAAAATTAAATAATTACCAAATTTATCTATTAGTATTAGCTACTTACCAAACATAACTATTGTAATCTCAAAAGACCATAATGCCCTTATAAGTTAAAAATAAAGAAAAACAAATGGATTTATGTGATTGGTTATTATTAATTTGTATGGTTTGTATAAATAGAGGCGGTTCGTATTTGAATGTTCCTCTATATATGTATATATATATATATATATACTACATTTATATCTATACAATACACACACACACATATATATACAACACACACACACACACACACATCTATACTACCTTATAAACCAAATTTCATAAAAGTCTTAAAGTCTTAAATACAAGTTTAAAAGCTTAAGGTACAACTTGATAAAGCATGCCTACTTCCTCCAATTTATTTTAAAGAACAAGCTTCAAGATATGTAGACGCCTATTGATCTTCTCAACGTGGCAATTGATGTCCTCCAGTTTCTTCCCGTTCTCAACGTGGCTATTGATCTTCTCAATATGGTTGTTCCTTTAATGATATCTGGTGATTCTCGTTCCTAAAGCTCTTCATTCTTCACTCCCGTATACACATGCATCTTATTCGTTCATCCTAGGGTTTTCTAGGTGCTTCTTGTCGTTCATTGCAATCAGGTTCGATAATTTCAACTTTCAATGTGTTCGATAATGTTTTTTTGTGCTTCTTATCATTAACCATCAAAAGTCCCTGCATTTTCGAGATAAAATGTTCCAATTTTGATTGGAAGTCGTAATCTTTCATGAAGTTTAACTTTGACAATTTTTTCTATGCTGAAGAGCGATTACATGTCCAGGTTCGTTTAATACTTTATCATTCTTGTTTGCTTGGTCTAGGTTTTGGCCTTTACGCCAAACTACTTCCATCCTTGAAACTAAAGCTGTAAATTGAATCCAAACCCTAAAAAGAGATAGTATGGTTGTGAAAGAACATAACTTTCTATATAGTTAAGAGACTATTGATGCAATAACTTTTGAATTCGTTGAAAAGAAACTACTAATATCTTTATCTATCGATTCTTCATATAAGAATGGGAGTTTAGAACTAAAGTACTTGATATTTGATTGTGTTTTCACAGGGAAAAAGTTGCAAAACCAGGAAGCTTGTTTGAGGTAGCCGAAGAATGCTTTGAGATGTGTCATAGACTCGACATTTGCATTTCTTATGAGAAAGGGAAATAAACATACAAAATGATTTACGATTATGAGGTGGTTATGTAAGGTTCAAAGTTCCACAGGTTTGTCCTTTCTCTTTTATCAAATTTTATAAAATTTGTTTGAATATTAGTAACTGTCTATTTCTTGCTAAAAAAAGGACTTACTGATTAAAATGTATTTATATGTCTATTTCAATCAAAAGTATATTTATGTTTCTTTTTCAAGCAAACTTAGTTATTGTCTGTGTTGAGTGTTCACTGGTGTTATGGATTGTGATAAGATCAAAAGCAACAGGTTATAAATAAAACTAATGGGATCTTGCCAAAAAAAAAGAGAAAGAAAAGATAAGGTTATGATGTATCAACTTTATTTACTTGTGGTGCTGCATGAGCCATCTATATTACCTTCATTCACTTGTGATGTTGCATGAGCCATCTCAAAACATCAAGAATGATATTATGCATTTGATTAAAACTCCTAGAGTATTCTCATTGTTAATTTTGCATTTACTTAATTATGCATTTGATTTCAGCTTGTATGCAACTTATATTGCCTTATCGACACATATAAGAACATAAAATCTAATGGGTTTGATGCTATTGTTGCATTTTCTCTTTTCCTTTATGGTAATTGTACTATACTACTTTGGATCATTTAGGTGCTTGATGCTATTGTTTCCTTTTTTATAATCCAACTCTATAAAGTCAAGGACTCAAACTAAATAAAGCACTTATCTCAATATTATGGGCTTTGGTAGCGCCTGGGTTTCATTCAAACCCGGGAAGACGAGATATAAAAAATTCTAGCAACAATCATTTGTAAGCAAATCGTTGAACCATTTGATTCGTTTCTTGCAATTATCAATTTGTTTCTAGTGAGGTGATCATATTGTGGATTTTGAAAATGGGATGAAGCATATACGTTAATTAGCTTTATTGATTTTGTTTGGTTTTTTATTAATCTCTGTGGGATTTTAGCTTTTTGTTATTGCATATATGTCAATTGGTAGCAAATGAAATGGGACAAGACAATGACATTGCACCTATGGAACATGTCAAAGAACAAGACAATGACATTGTTGGCACATGAGGGACTAATTGTAGGTTTGGTATATTTAACAGTTACGGGTTTGGTTGCATTGGGTAGGGATGATAAGAAAATGATATTTGGTTTGATGTAGTTTGTGTCACTGGTTGTTTTGTGTATGTTGTTCAACTTTTATCTAATCTAGATAACTATTGTGGATGTCTTTTTTCCGCCTTTAATGGAAGTTGGTTGGTTTGGCCAAAGTCCATTGGTGGTATCTTTTGGGAACTAGAAACCCACAAGAATCCATTTATGTCAATTTAATAATGCTTAAACTGAGGTTTGATTTAATCGAGTTTTATGTTATTCATTTACATCCTTATTCTAAGCTCTTGAAATCATATCATTCTCTTTCCATTACTTAGCTTAATTTTATAATCATTTATATTAATTTTACTTCCTGTAACATTGTGCGGGTAACATTTTAGCTACTTGATTTGCTTGCTATTCGTGAAATTATCATCGTGATTTAATGATTTGCCAATTGAGTTTTGTTTGTTGTTGCTTTGTGATGTTAGACAGTAGGACTATTATAGCATCTGGTGGAGTTCGTCCAGAGTGTTTAATATATATGGACTATTATAGCACCTGGTAACAATACTAAAAGTAAATTATGATCCTAATTTTCAAGTTCTGATTGAGGTAATTAAGGGCCGTTTATCCAAATGCTCAAAGTCTCTAACCATTTATAATTGTTGGCTTTTGTTATATGAGTTTGCTATTTGCATTATTTCCAAAAGAAAACTTCTCATGTACCAATTAGCTATTGTATTTCAACGGCAAATGAATGTAAACAAAATGGATTTGAGTGATTGGTTGTGCAAGTATTGGTAGCTATTGTGTTTCAGAGGCAGTGGTTGCATCCCATTGCATCGCATGGGTATACAACCAGAAGTTAATAAATCAAACAAAACAATTGATACTTCGTACGAAAATTAAAATTGAATGACAAAACGAACTATTTAAAAATCAAATAAAAAAATTGACACAAGTTGACAAACCAATGAAACAATTCATATGTTATTCGATGAACGTTGAGTTTAAAATTAAAATTTAGTACAACTTTGCAAAGGAATTATATGTGTATACTTATCGCAGTAGCTGTTTCCAACCAATAAACATTAATAGACGATCTCATATTGGTGGTCGGTGTTTTAAAATTTGGATAACTAATTGACTTGAGACGATAAAAGGTTTTTTTTTTCCAAAAATATGTCTATATTCTTTCAAAATAACATATTCATATTCAAACTGAATGGAAAAGCATTTTCCATTTGGTTTGGTCTTGCTATGACAATCATGTGTTTATCTATTATAATCGTCAATCGATATTCTCACTTACATTTATATAAAACTTATACCCCACCGCATTGTGCGGATACATAACTAGTATATATACAATACATATATACACACACACATTATGGGGTCCCTAATCATCCAATGGTCATATATCAAAGAATAAGGACTCTTTACATCCAACCTTATATATAGGTTCACGTAATTTTAACAGTGTCATTGAGACGTGGGCATATAAAATTTAAAGTGAGTGACCCTCACTTCACTTTCTTAAACAAGTGTTATGTTATATGAAAGGCACAATGGATCTTGGCATCTCATTAGTTTCGATCTGCCAAACTCACTTCCTACTTTGATGTTGATCAGGCTGCCCAGACTAACGTCATTCCACTTCTGGGTTTTGTGTTTTCTTTGACGATAACATCATATCATGGTTCTTCAAACGACAATCAACTATATTCGTGGCACACATAGTCATTGAGAGAAGTGGATATGTACTTTTTTCTTAAACTTCAAGGACCCATTTCTATGACAATGTATCTAGTAACTCGATCTGACACCAACAAATCAAACATACTAAGCTTGACATCCACTATGTTCATTAAAAAGTTTGTATTGGAACCTTCTACATCCACCATGTTTGTTTTGATTACTAATATATAGAAAATACTCACGAAGGGGCTACCTCGACACTTATTCACTAGTATCAGATCTAGTCTGAACGTTCACCATTCTTCCATTCTGACTGCAAGGTGTAATATATAACAAATAATGTATTTTTTTGTATTGTCTTGTTTCATAAATTTAGTTTATTATTAGTTAGGGAATCTTCTATATACTGTACGAGCAAACCTTTTGGGATTATCGAAATATATATACTCCTTTCGTAATTATAATCATTGTTTTACACATCATCTCATGAAAGGAGATCTTTGTTTTGATTTTATTAGAAACCGTCAATTTTTATTCTGTGTCATTTGAATTTTTGACTAATCAAAGGGGATGCATACGTATTATAGAAAAGGAAATGAAAGGAATATAATAATTTTAGCAAGTATCCATTTAGACCTTTTATTGATACCACTCAATGGCCTTCCAGTTCAAGAAAGGAAGCATACATGTTACACATACATAAATGTAAGTATCTATATATAATGAGCAGACACACATATGAAATATACAACAACTACATGACAAAGATGACACACAAAAACCTAATCCTTGCTTATTCTTCATCCAACTTTGGGGATTCAGTATACCCTCCAACTTAACATTGTGTCGTTCCTTGTCGATATTTAACGTGAATTTTATGGTGAGATCGAACTTATTGACATTTGACATATATGAGGATTTTAACTAGAGAAGAAATATGGGGTTCTTAGTGGCACTGAAAGAAACAGGTGGAGGCTTATACACTTAAGAATTCTTAGGTGGCGGTGGTGGGGACTTAGCATTGATGGAAGCTTTCGGAGGGGGTGGTGGGGACTTGGCATTGACGGAAGCCTTAGGTGGTGGTGGGGGGGATTTTGCATTGACGAAAGCCTTAGGTGGAGGTGGTGGGGACTTGGCATTGACGGAAGCCTTAGGTGGAGGTGGTGGGGACTTGGCATTGACGGAAGCCTTAGGAGGAGGCGGCGGGGATTTGGCATTGAGGGAAGCCTTAGGAGGAGGCGGCGGGGACTTGGCATTGAGGGAAGCCTTAGGAGGAGGCGG